AAGCTAGCTAGCTTCCCAGTGAATCTACATCAACTCATAATTAACTCGCTCAACGTGAACCCTCGACACAACTCCAGACTAGGTTCCAGACTCCAGACTAAAAAGAAGATTTTATGTTGTTTGTAAGTTTGTAAAAAAACTGACTATATATCGGCATATATTTAAATACTAAATCGAAAGCACAATTTAATTACTAAATTTAAATTATTTTACTCTGCTTTGCACTATTCGAAATTCTAATACGTAACAGTTATAAAAGTTTATTTATAATAAAGTTGTTTCATTACCCAGTCAAGCCATCTCAAAACTTTTATTTTCGACAGAAAATGTTTCTTTATAGTATACAATAAACGTTTTTTGTAATGAGAGTATAATTTTATTCATGGTTTTCGCAACTTCAGGGTAATTAAAGTGTTGTGAGAGGCCAGTGTTCTCTCAAGTGTCTTGTTATCTCTGATGCGTTACTATACACAGTTTGATAAAATAATAGAGCCAATAGAATCTATTAACATTTATTTTTCCATTTGTAGAAACTTTTCTGAATTTATAAAGAAATTGAAAAACTCGATTGTGTACAGGCGCAGCAGGGAAATGTTTACAGTTTAAGAGAACACTTGAACTTTTGCTTTGATCGAGAGCGTGACAGATAAAGACGTGCAACAGGGTAAGGTAACAATCCTGATAACATGACCAGAACCACCTACCTTTTCCATAGTTTCCATAGTAGAAGGAAACTAAAGGTTTGGTATGATTTGTGTCGCAAAACTACGTAATTTTATTAAGAGCCACATAATACTTTTAATTTTTGTTAAATAAAGTCAGGTTAAGTATGTAGCTTTTCTTCAGCGTCTGTGTACTTCGTTTAGAATTGTATCTTAATTTAATAATTCAATATAACAAGCTATTATTTCGTCGAATTGCACTAGTTTGTTACCAACAACAAAACGCAATAAAAATTTTATAAATTAAGATACTAATTAAATGCTCTTCTAGAAAGTGTTCGGTCTCGTTTTTAATTTCACTCTTAAAAAATTAACCTATTCCAATCATAAATTTTAACGGAATCAATGGACAAAAAACTAAAATTTTAAATCTATTTTCTTTGTAAAAATGCCCTTTTTGACAGGTTAACACTGAGATAAGGTAAAAATACTAATGGTATTTTTATACACAAAAGTTTGCTTTGTAATTAAGCACAAAGCTACGCAATGAGCTATCTATGCTCTGCCCACCACCGGTATTGAAACCAGAATTCTGGAGTTCTAAGTCCGCAGACATACCGCTGTGTCATATTCAAAGCTTGAGAAACGAGTGCATTACCCGTCACAGGACTATTTTATCCAATGATTTATATATGTCAACTCATAGAGTGTAATTTCACAATACATTTTGAGCTAGATCTTAAAACAACATTTTGCAATCCAGAAAAATTGAAGCATAAACATTCTAATTGCAAGGCGAAAGTAAAGAAATAAAATCGAGAGCAATGATTCTTTCTCTTATTCATGTATATCCCTGCCTTGTTTACATTAACCTGACAATAAGGATATCTTACTTTATCTCTTTCATGTATATCCCTGCCTTGTTTACATTAACCTGACAATAAGGATATCTTACTTTATCTCTTTCATGTATATCCCTGCCTTGTTTACTTTAACCTGACAAAGAGGATATCTTACTTGGTCTCTTTCATGTATATCCCTGCCTTGTTTACTTTAACCTGACAAAGAGGATATCTTACTTTCTCACTTTCATGTATATCGCTGCCTTGTTTACTTTAACCTGACAAAGAGGATATCTTACTTTCTCTCTTTCATTTATATCCCTGCCTTGTTTACTTTTATCTGACAACGAGGATATCTTACTTGCTCTCTTTCATGTATATCCCTATCTTGTTTACTTTAACCTGACAATGAGGATATCTTACTTTCTCTCTTTCATGTATATCCCTACCTTGTTTACTTTAACCTGACAACGAGGATATCTTACTTTCTCTCTTTCATGTATATCCCTGCCTTGTTTACTTTAACCTGACAACGAGGATATCTTACTTTCTCTCTTTCATGTATGTCCCTGACTTGTTTGTTTTAACCTGACAATGAAG